TGGCGGTGTAAGTGACAGAGGTGACAGTGGTGGGGTCGGCTGGTGTCATAGGTGGTAGTAGTGGTGGTGGCAATGGCGGTTGTGTTGGTGGGGATGGTGGCAGAGGGGAAAGGAACGGGCGACGTTATATAATCATTTATAATTATAACAGACCTACTACCCCGGTACGCCGGAGGGATAGAGTGATAGATGTAAAATATGTGGCTGAGGTTGAATTTCAAGGTCTCAATTTTATTTTTAATCTCAACGGAACCTACCTCTCTCTCTCTCTATATATATATATATATGTATATATATATATATATATACACTAGCCGTTTACCCGCACTAAGCGACGGGTGCGAATAGTTTTTTCAGAGTTCAGTTTCGAGAATCAATTAGTTCTTTTGCATAGAGAGTTTACTACATTTTACCTAATTAATGACATCATATCATCTCCTTTGTTGTTCATGTGGAAAAACATGTTTTGGCACTTTACTACATAAACATATGAACCCACCACACCAAGTACCTGCCAGATGGAGATAGTTTATATATATGCGTTTAAAATCGAGTCGTGCTTCTATCTTGGTGAATAGATCTGCAACCAAGGAATTTGAAATTAAAGAGGTGCAATACGATGAGATTCTTTGTCTCCGTTTCTATTTATACTTGCAACGGAGGAACTTAATGACTTAATGAAGGCGGTATCTGAATTGTCATTCTTCCACAAAACAATAATACATCATGTTATAAGACTTTCATATCATTATAAATCTCAAATTTTGTTCATTTTAACTCATCCAAATGAAAAAAATGAAAAAGCATGATTTATTCAATAAAAAACATTGTTATTGATTCAACATATGTGAAGGCTTGAGTGGTCCAAATTAAGAATAAAAAGGAATAAATAGTAACAATGACAAAATTGTCCAAAACAGTCAAAATGAGAACCACAAAAAACCTCTAATTTTTTGTCTTTTACTTTTTCATATTATTATTAGTTTTTTTTCCTTCCTTTTTTACACAAGATTTTTTTTCCTTCCTTTTAGCCACAATTGTCATTTTTACAAAAATAATAATACATCAATTTATAAGACTGTCATGTTATTATAAACTTTTCTTTTGTTCTATTTTGTCTTTTTTTCTATCAAACATAGTTATATTTTCTTTTCTTGTTTGACTTTAGATGATGTGTGGAAACACATGACATTCAAAAATCAAACAAAACACTAAGGAAAACATAACAAATAAAGATTAAAAATAAAAAAATAAAAAATAAAAATCATTCAGCAACATCATTCCAATGGTTTCCACCAATGCTCATTAGAGGCTTCGTCAAAATAAGTCATGCTCTGTAAAGCCAACTGCATAAAAAAAATAAAAAAAATTATAAATTCCAATATTTTGTTAAAGTTATACTTTTAGTGGTGTTTAATACTTTATATTTGGCTCTCACTCTATTGTGGTGGAGCTGTGTAGTAAAGTTAAAACATGAACATTCTTTGCATGTATCCTTGGAGCAATTTTTATACAAATGTACAAGCCATTAAACATCATCCTTTAGAGCCAAAAGTGTGGAAGATTATCTTTTTTTTATATGCTCTATAATGACCAGGCTGCAATGCCAATAAGAAAAAGTTACCTTTATTTTTCAATATTCTTATATTACCATCCATTATCATCATAATCACTTATTAAGAACAAAAATACAGGTACATGACTAATCATTTATTGATGCGGTGGAGTTAGTTATGATTTCATGCCACTTTTTGCAAACATGTTTCACTTTTATACCAATTCCTTCAATTACAAAATGCAAAAAATCAAGTTCTAAAGCTTTTCAAAATAAATATAAGCACATGTACTTTGATAAATGTTTGATAGAAAATCAAGAAAGAAAAAAATGAATTCCCATATTTGAGAAATAGGTCTCCCCACTACTTCCTAACAAGATTATTTTATTCAATCAACTCTCTTATAACTAACTTTTCCTACTTTTCTTGTAATTGAATTTTCCCACCGAAAATACAATTATAAGGACTAAACTACCCTCCCAAGCCTCATAAGCATCGTCTCCTTAAAAACATGGTTTACATACATATTCGTGACTATGTTTCACATATACATACATACAAAGATCTCAAAGTTATATTAGAAAAAATAAAGTCTATTGATAATTACAAAAGAAAAAAAGCTTGTAGATTTAGATTTATTATGTGATGAGACTCGTTGAACCAGTAATAAGCATAACTAAACAAGTTTTGGCAGTATTACGCCTACAATCTCTTGGTTGACTTGCCCCAACGATTCGTGTATGAAGCTCTAATCAGAAAACAAACAATTTGAAACACTAATCAAAGAACTACAACTACAAATTAAGGACTAAATCAGTTATTTAAAAAAAAAAAACAAAATCAAGAACCATGTTAAGTTAACATGGTTATTTTTATAGATCAGACCATACCTCTTCATGATTCCCCCGCTTGTTGTAAGCAACCAGATTTCTGTTTAGTTTAGTGTAAAAGCCTCAAGTTGTGGTATCATACCTGCATATTCTACTAAATCAAGCATAAATATAAATCGAGACAAAATATGGTGGCAAAGGAAAAGAAAACATGTATTTGTATAATGACTTAAGTACCATTCAACAATGCACAAATTAATGAGCCAATAATCTAGAGAGCAAACAATATTTTAAAACACCTTAAGGAAGAGCACTTTATGTTTGTCTAGGTTCTGGGTATCCACATTCAACAAAGGAAAGAAGGATTCATGAACCTTGAGTACGAACCTTGTAAAAAGATAAAAGTAAATGTGACAGTCAAATACCGCAAACACTAAGGGGTTTACCTCATCGTTGTTGGAGACCCAAAGATAAAATAATGGTAAGGGTTTAACTCCTAGTTATCTCTTACCAATATGCTCCATCCTATTAAATCAAATATAAAAATGATTGTGAAATCAGAATAAAAACAAAAACAATAAAACAATCGAACAAATGCGCCAATAGAAGTGGTTTCACCTCAGATTATAAGTAGCTCAATATGAAAAAAACGCAAACCGGCCTAAAATGGAGATGACTCCATGTTTCTACAGTAGAGATAGAGAGAAATTTAAGTTTCTTTTTCATAAACTTGATTCGTCAAAATCAAGAAAATGTAGAAGGGATAACCTAAAATGGCTATTAAAGAATGAAACTGTTAATGTTCTTCTTTTTCATTTTCCCGTTTAAGTAGGCATCCATCCTCTGCATACAACTCATCACCTGCTTTATTTCATCAACAAGGTGAGTTTTCACGGTCAAAAACCTAGATCAAACATGAAATAGGAAAGTCGATGGTGGGGGCTCACAAGGGTGGTGGTGCGAGGTTTCTCGACAGTTGGAGAGGAGTGTTCGGTGCTTGTGTTCGTTGAATGTGGCGGTAGATTTCTTGGTTGATGGTGGTGTTCGGGATGGTATTGATGGTAGTAGATCGAGAAAGAAGAGACAGCGAAGGGACACAAGTCTTGAACCTGGTTGGTAGCTTCCCCAAAGTCATCAGATACTTTTACCGCTGCTGCTCCTTCGCCAGAGGTAGATTTCATTTTCACCTGCACCAAAAAAAAAACCAAATTAATATTAATACAAAATTCAGAAACAATGAAATCGGTTGTATTATAAAGGATTTCAGGTTTTAATCTAAAGAAGAAGACACTGAGAGAGAAAGAAAGCTTTTGGGTTGTAGGTGGGTTTACGCTAATACTATATAAAATGTATTCCCTCCTCACCGATTCAATTGGTCGAACTTTCAGGAATACTGGTTATATTTGACCGATTCAATTAGAAGTTAAGAGTCGAAGACTTATTGAGTTATTCAAATTCTGCCTAATTCAAATTCTGTCTTCGTTGTCAGCAGCAGCGGCTTCCTCCTCCTCTCTGTGTTCGGGATCATTGATAGCCATTAGTTGAGGATCGAAGATGCTGAGTAGCATTAGTCTCCGTTACAGATCTAAAAAATCAGAGGTTTGATTGATTTGTTCATCACCGCCTCCGTATGAAGTTAGGAAAGGGGCATCTTTGGTGGTGTCGATGTGAATAGGTTAGATGGCAGTGTGTTTAGGGATTCCTTGTATTAGGGTGTAGTATATGATCCGTGTAGCGTGTAGTACGTATAATGCTTAATATATTGTACATGAGGTAATATATGTTGTACCTCTTAATTTTCAAGAAATGGGCAATATCCTTAATAATATAGTAAAGATATATATATATATATATATATATATATATATATATATATATATATATATATATATATATATATATATATAAAGAGAGAGAGAGAGAGATAGAGAGAGAGAGAGAGGAAGGATTATTTGAGAACTCATAGTTTCCCGAGAACCCGAGAACTAAAAGTCATTCGTTAGATAAAAAAAAGGATGGTCAAGATGCTTTGTGGCACTTTTGTAAATAAATGAGAAAGTAAATGAACGGGGGTACTGAAACAAAATTGAATTGGGGGTATTTTAGGGATATAGATATTGACCCTGTTTAGAGAACGTCAATCCAAACGCCTTGTTCCGAGTTTTGAAGATGATACCTTCTGGTGGATGATTTCTCTGTAAACCCTTACATGACTGCCATGGAGTTCGTCAATCTCCCCTAGAAACCACATCACCGCCATCACCTCGTGTAAGACCTACACCATCGCTATCGTCTCCTATAAATTGACGATCTCTTCTCCTTCCTCCCTACATCGGTCTACTACTCTTCCAGTCAAAGATCTTCCACATCAGCCTCCTTCCCTCTCCGTCGACCATCAACAATTCATCATTAATCACACGGTGAAGGTAATTTTCTTCTGATCATTGAATTTTCTAGTTTTTGTTCGGTTCCTAAGATCCAAAAATGACAGCTAGGGCATATATCAGGTTTCAAAGTTTTGAATTCTCTACCTTGATTTCTGCATATATCACGTTTCAATTGATCGATTTCGTTCCATGGATCAATTGATCTAATCCATGCCTGAGTCTCCTTTATGGCGACGCACCTGCACCTCACTCACTCTCACTTCTTCCTCCCTTCTTACAAACTCCTCTTAACTACCGCTCCAGAACCTCTCCTTTGTCAATTCGGCGTTTGTCACCGCCGCTGCCTCCTCGTCACAGATTGTGCTTCGTCACCGAATGAAAACAAGGTTTGCAATTTGTTGCTTCATTTTCAAATGCATGTGTCTCTGTATGTATTTGTTCGTGTTGATTTTTTTACCTAATTCGAGGTTCGTTAAACGAATTTTGTGCTTTAGAGTTGCCAGTAGGAAACCAGCGAGGACCAATGCAGATCTCTGCAACGATTTACGGGAATTTATGTCCGATGTTGGGTTTCATGACGGACATGTTCCTTCTTTGAAGGAGCTTTCGCACCATGGCAGGTTTAGTTTTTGTAGCATTATATTACTCTTCTTTATTTCCAATTCCTTGTTCTGCACTTGAATACATGTCTGCTGATATGTATGCTTTACTTATCATGGAAAACATTCCTGATACTAGAAATTGCTTGCATCCTTAGTAACAAATGGTAAGTAGGAATCAGTCAAAAAAAAATAGTAGAGCTGTGACATGATATGAGGGTGTTTATAAATTCTTCTGTGAGGAAAATTACTTCTTACCTGGGTAATCATGGAGATTCAATGGAAATTTATCATATTGGCTTAAGAAATCTGTATATCATTTGATTTCAGGTCTATCCTCACAATGTATTAAAACATACATTTCATTAGAAAGAAAATTATATGCTTTATGGAAATGGCTTCTACTTGTTGAGAATTTTTTTGAATTATTCTTTTGTTCTTATATTACTATATAGGCAAGATCTTGCGAACCTTGTGAGAAGAAGAGGATACAAACTTATTAAAGAGCTTCTTGCAGCCTCACAAGAGGTCAAAGTCAATGATTTTAATGTAGATGAGAGCTTGACTGATAATCAGGAAAATACCAATACTGAAGAAGATGAATCAACAGGTGTTTTTTTTTTCTTTTCACTTTTTACAGCATGGAATAAAATTAAACTCAAAACTCTTCTTATTAAATCATTTGTATTAAAAAGATTTAGATGAGAATGGAACAAAGTTGGCTGAAGCTGTGTTGTTGTCGAATGAAGAGACTTCCACTAAACCATGAATCTACTAATGAAATGAAGGTATGATTTTTTTATCTGTTTTACCTTTTTGCTAACAAACATGAATCTACAAATGTTGCTAAAATTCATAATTCAGCTTCAGGGTTCAAAAGATGGACAATAAAATGTCCATTTATCAGATATTGTGATTTACATGTGCATCACTTGTGATTCACATGTGAATCACTTGTGACACATGTGAATCATTTGTGATTTACATGCGAATCACATGTAATTCACATGTAAATCATCTTAATTTTTTTTCTAACCATATAGTTTTTTTAATTGTTTCTATATTGAGCTTCATGGATCACTTGTGATTTACATGTGAATCACTTGTGATTTACATGTGAATCACTTGTGATTCACATGTGAATCACTTGTGACACATGTGAATCATTTGTGATTTACATGTGAATCACATGTAATTCACATGTAAATTATCTTAATTATTTTTTTTTTTCTAACCATATAGTTTATTTTAATTTGTTTCATTTTAGAAATATATCACAAGTGAAACACATATGAATTACATGTGATTTACATGTAAACCACAAATTAATCATATGTAATTCACAAGTAAATCACAAGTGATTCACATATGGATTATATGTAATTCACATGTAAATCAAATGTAATTCACATGTAAATCACAAGTGAATCACATATGAGTTATTGGTTATTCATATGTAATTTACATATAAATCATATGTAATTCACATATGAATTACATGTGATTCATATGCAAATCACAAGTAAATCACATACGAATTACCAAATGTAACTCACAAGTAAATTTCATATTAATTACATGTGATTCACATATAAATCACAAGTGAATCACATATGAATTACGTCTATATACACACATGTGTTTTTGTGAGTTTTTCTTGCATTAATCAAATTTTTTTTATTTTTCTTGTAGATTTGGAAGAATTTGTGGAAAATATTGAAGATGTGAAAAATAATAAAGTAAAGAAAATATGGAAATCTTGACACGAAGACATGAAAATGCTTTGAAATTTTGTAGTATTTTTTTGTTTTTTTATATTTTATTTTGTATCGAATAAAATACTTGTATTATTGTGTTTATAGATTATTAAATAAAAATGGATTTTTTATATGATTACTTACGAATATTATACTATAAGAAAGATGCATATATGTACTTGAAAAATATGCATATATGAACCTAAAACGTTGATTTTTTTGTTAAAAAAATTAGGTTTTTTTTTTTAAATATTCTAGTTTTTTTTTAAATTTATTGATTTTAAAAAATTTACTTTTTTAAAAAATTGGAGTTTTTTTTTTGAAAAAAATGCAGTTTTTTTTTGACAAAAATGCAGTTTTTTTTTGAAAAAAAAAATATTATTTTTCAATTTAAAAATGAAAAAATATCCATTTTTTTATATAAATTTGAAAATTATTTTTTTTAAAAAAAATTCGAAATTTGATTTATTATGTTAATTTTTAGAACTTTTTATTAATATTTCCAATAACAAAAAAAAATTAAACATTAAATGAGATCGGTAAGATGACGATCATGCCCTTAATGAATTAGTTTTGATCCAACGCTCCACTTTTAGTTCTAGGGAAACTATGAGTTCTGATCCGATGTCAACCCTATATATATATATATATATATATATATATATATATATATATATATATATATATATATATATATAATAACCTAACAACCGAGTAGACAGTAATAATGACATTATTTTGTAATCAAAACTTATATGTGGTGTTCCTCTCAAATCAAAAATAGAGCATGGTTCGTCCCTCTTCACAAATGTTATGCGAAGAGTCTATTCAAAGAGTCTATTCTAAAAGGCTATATATATAAATAATCAACATCCTTTGACAATTACATATTGGCATTATTGGTTCTTTGTTTTCAAAGAGTCTATTCTAAAAGCTTGTGCAAGAAATATCCAATTATTTATGGAATCACTCCAGAAAGAGATAATTTTGGTAGAGAAAGTGTGTGAGATTTATCACAAAATTTCAAAGCTTGACACTCTGAAACCCTCCAAAGATGTTGATACCCTCTTCACTGAACTAGTCCGCACATGCGTTCCTCCCTCTTCTATCAACATATCCACTCTCCCGGCTGATGTTCAAGAAATAAGGTCAAAGCTCATAAGACTTTGTGGTGAGGCTGAAGGCCATCTTGAAGCGTTCTTCTCCACCATTTTTGGCTCTTTCCCAAATCCTCTTCGTCATCCAAAAGAATTCCCTTACTACTCCAATTACCTGAAGCTTGGTCGTCTTGAGTTTGACATTCTTACTAAACACTGTTCTTCATTTGGACAGGCCTCAAAGGGTGGATGGAGTGGTTGCCTAAGAATCCTTGGAACCCAGGTAAAACACCTCTTTCCGGTAACGGGTATGTGGGGGTGGTGTTCATGCCGGTGCCGGAGTGCCACCTCACTGTCACCTCAGCTAACCCGCTTCCACTCCCGCCACCCTAAGCGTCTTGCCTTTGTGGGGTCTGGACCCTTGCCTCTCACCTCTATTGTATTGGCCTCTTATCATCTCAAGAACACCATTTTTCACAACTATGACATTGACTCTTCCGCAAATTCGATGGCCTCTCATCTTGTTTCGTCTGATTCTGATTTGTCCCAAAGAATGGTATTCCACACTGCCAATATAATGGATGTGACAGATGAGTTGAAGGGATATGATGTCATTTTCTTGGCTGCACTTGTAGGGATGGATGTTGATGAGAAGGTTAAGGTCATTGATCATTTGGCAAAGTACATGGCCCCAGGTTCTTTGCTAATGGTGAGGAGCGCTCATGGTGCTCGTGTCTTTCTTTATCCAGTGATAGAGGCACAGCAACTTCAAGGGTTTAAAGTTCTCTCAGTTTTCCATCCAAATGATGACGTCATTAATTCAGTTGTGATATCACGTAAGATTGCAGAGCCTGTTAAGGAGATGTGTTAAATGCAAATAATTCGTTGGCAATCCGTTACAAACTAGGTTCGTAGGTAATCCAGCATGAACTGTGAATAATAAGACAGAAGTCAAAAAATATTTCCATCCCTAATCTGTCGTAACATTGTCTGCCGGAAAACCATAAGAAAAGGTTTCGTCGAGAATCCGTCTGATATTGTCGCATGTCCATCTATAATTACGACAGAATGGTCTGAACCAAAGTCCATCAAAAATCAGTTAGAAATTTTTACCCACTTGATTTTTCAGTAAAATTTCTTTTTTATCGGAATTCCTTCACCACTACAAAAGAATAGACCTTCACCCACGACCATATATCTTTTTGTAATAGTAATGAGCATATTTTTGGGTGATATGGTCGTATGTAACTTTTTTTTTTTTTGCAACGGGATGGAATCCACGGCTCTGTTATACACATATTTACCACCGAGTTTTGACCGACAAATTTACCACAGAGTGTTTACCCCAAGGATTTTCCACAGAGCCAGAAAATTTTTATCCCCATATTTTCCCATGGATTATCCAAAAATTGTTAACCACGACTTCACCACATATTGGTTACCGTACACTTGGCTTAAGCAAGGTTGGCACACTTTGATTTTCCACAAAATTGTTTTGTGTGTGATTCTGTGGATTATGTCTAGGTAACATAACTAGGTTTAAATCCGTCGAAACTACAGTTGAGAAAAAAAAAAACGCTAGTGATAATTCCAAATCGTAATGAATGGTCATTGGACAAAATGTACATGTTACTGCAAAAGCAATGGTCATTGGACAAAATGTACATGTTACTGCAAAAGCTTGGATTAATAAATTATTACAAATGTTTGGTTTATTAATATTGTACACTCAAAAAACATTTGGAACATTTTGAAGAACTCCTTTTCCTTTTAAGGATGAATTAAGTAAATATTGGCATCAAAAGTCAATGTAAGACATCATGTAGTTGATTCAAACATAACACAATATGGAATTGGGTTAAATGCAAGAAATAACATCATACTTCCCTTAATTTGCAAATAGGGGAAAGTATGATGTTACAAAACCAAAAAGAAAAGTATAAAAATAGTGAATACAGTGAAAAAACAGCTGGAAAAGTAATGTTTTATAGCAGTATAAAAGTAATAAAAAACTGTTAAAAGAGTAGGATGCTATAAAAGTAAAATCAATCAATATAATGTTTTAGTATCTATGTAATTGGGTATGGTAGTGTGTATATGTGGCTGTTTTTTTATATATGTATGGGGTATAGTATCATAATATGAAATTTTGATGTTATATTATATAAATATGCAATATAGTCAAGTTTTGAATCAAAAAGATATTGGAAGTGTAATTGCATAATAGAGTAATATGAAAGTAGGATACTATATTATACAAATAGATGAAAGTAAAATGATTATTCTTACACTTACCCAATATATAAAGTTTTAAAATAGACAGGGCCAAAGATACACAATTGTAACGAATAAGCTCTCAATATAACACAAGCAAATATTTTATGATATTAACAAAAAAAATGCAAATATGACAACGAAATTATAAGTAATATTTGAAGAGGTAGCATTTGCAACTGGATTGGAGATGTTGGTTCCTGTGATGTTGTCTTTCAAAAAAACGAGCAAGTTTCCTACAGTCACGAGTTTCATGACCTGGAATAGCACAAACTCGATAGTAATAGTTGGAGCGATTGTTCCTGTATTTAGTGTTATTGTTTGAGCGGTTGTTGCGTGATTGGTTGTTTGAACTGAAGCGACCAACATGATATGATCCAGATTGAGAATTAGACGAGGGTCGATTGTTGAACCGACCTGTTTGGCGTTGGGAGAAGTTGGCTGTGACAACAAGAGGTGCAGCAGTAGATTCATTTTCTTTTAAAAATCTTTTTTTGAAGTCAACTAGTTCTGGAAAGGATATTGAGTTTTCCCGGACTTTTAAGGCGGCTATGAGAGGCCCGTATTCGTCCCCAAGTTGGCTTAGTACTTGAACTAAGAGGTCTTCTTCATCGATGGGGCTTTGAGCAAGTACTAATTCATCAGCAATTTGTTTCATATCATTGAGGAATTTTGTGATGGAACAACTTCCTTTGGGATTCTTTGCAAGCTTTTACTTGAGTGAAATAGTTCTGGATCGAGATTGGCTGGCATAGCTCATGTTGAGCCGATCCCAGGCTTCCTTTGTAGTAGAGGCATATATGAGGATTGGTTGAATGGCATCGGAACCACTTCCAAGGATAGCACTGTAGAGGATCTGGTCTTGACGATACCAGATAGTGTATGTTGGATTTGTTTTGGTGGCATCTTTATCGGTGAGATTATGTCGTGGCGGTTTGCTTTGGCCGGTGAAGAAGTCTTATAGGTCAAAGGCCAATAAGTGTTGTTTGAACTTGTTTGCGCCACACTAGGAAGTTTGTGGTTGTAAGTTTTATTTGGAAATGACCGGTGGCTGTGAGTTGGATGATGGTGTTGTTGTGTTCCAGCCTCCAAAGTCTCCAAAGCTACAGTAGCCACCATTGTTGACAAAATGAAGCCTACGAGACAAGTTTTTCTTCCCACTCTATGATGAACACAATTAATGAATGCAACTACAATGGTGGCTGCCAAGACTATAAATAGAGACTTCATTCTTCAGTTGTATGCATCCCAAAAACACAGAGAAACAGATAGTATAACACTTAGAGTGAGAGTATTAGTGAGAGGGTTGGTTTTTTGTAATAGTTGAGTGTGAGAGTTGCTCCTCCTATTGTAATTCTATTTTCGTGTTTAATAGAAGAGTTTTCCAACCCCAACAACTGGTATCAGAGCCCCGTTTGGTGTCCAGGGAATTTTTCACGAATTTCTCTGTTTTTTCGTCAAAATTGTTTTGTCTCAAAATCGATTTCTAGGTACACCATTAGAAAGATCTTGTTTCAAGGATTCCGAAAATATATTTTTCGTAATTTTTTGACCACGGGAAGACCTCCAAAACACCGGTCAAAGATTGGTGAAACCTGCCGGAAAATTCGCCGGAAAAACCAGGTGGCGTCAGCCGGAGAAGACGAGTGACGTCATCAGTGACGTCAGCATTGACCAGCTTTTCAGAAAAGTTGCAGTTTAGCCCCTGAAGTTTCAGAAAATTGCAGAAAGGTCCCTCTATTTCTGAAAAACTGCAGTTCGGTCCCTGTTGTTCTGAAAATAACTGTTTTGGTCCCTGGAGTTCTGAAAAGTTTCAGAAAAGTCCCTTGTTGGCAGAAATATTTCAGATTGGCCCCTGTAAGTTCCGAAAATTACAGTTTAGCCCCTGTAGTTCCGAAAAGTTCCAAATTAACACATAACTTTTCAAGAAAGTATATTTTGACCCCGAAAAACTCTATCCCACCATTTTTGATGCTTCCGAATCCAACCGAGAGCTCGATTTTATCTAATTTTTCCTCGAAATATTTGGAAAATAAATTTGCAATTATTTTCGATGGAATCTACAAGTACGATTACGATGGTTCGACTTACGCCCACAAATTACAACATGTGGAAGCCAAGGATGGAAGATTTGCTTAATCTGAAAGATTTAGCAGAGCCTATAGAAAAGCAAGGCGTCAAACCCAACACGAAGACAGAAGAAGTTTGGACGAGAATAAACAGGAAAACGGTGGCACAAATTCGACAGTGGATCGACCAGAGTGTTTTTCATCATGTCTCTCAAGAGACAGACGCGTACAAACTTTGGGAGAAGCTCGAGAATATGTATCAGGCAAAGACGGCACGCAACAAGACCTTGCTAATGAGGCGACTTGTAAACCACAAGTTACGAAGTGGTACGTCCATAACCGAGCATACGAGTCAGTTCCAGGATCTCGTAAACCAGCTCGGTGCTGCTGATTGGGTTCTCAAAGACGAGGAACAAGCCATATTGCTCTTGAGTTCTCTACCAGATAATTGGGAGACGCTTGTTGTGACTCTCAGCAATTCTGCCCCCGGTGGTAAAGTGACAATGGAGATGGTCACAGATGCCCTAATGAACGAGGAAGCCAGAAGGAAAGAAGCTGGTACAGACCAGTCTTTTGCCCTCGTGTCAGAAAACAAAGAAAGAGGCGGAGGCAGAACTGGAGGCCGAGGTCGAGGTAGAGGCAGAGGTAGACATGGTCAAAGTAGAGGAAGATCCCAAGATCGTGGGAAATCACGAGATCGAGGGAAATCGCGAGAGCGAGGTAAATCTTCAAATACATGGTTCGAAGGCTATTGCAATCATTGTAATTATTATGGCCACAAAAGAAGTGATTGCCGAAGGTTCTTACGAGAGCAGCCCGAGACAAGCCAGAATCCAAGCAGGGAGAATGGTGAAACCATGGTCACCATAACACAAGACGTTGCCCTTGTTACATACGAGGAGGAAGCATGCCTACATGTTGAAACTCATGATGATGAGTGGGTGATTGATAGCGCTGCATCATATCATTCGACTCCAAACCGGGATTTATTCAGTACTTATAAACCCGGAGACCATGGTACCGTGAAGATGGGAAACACCAGTTTCTCAAGCATTGCTGGTATTGGTGATGTGCATTTAAAGACCAATGTTGGATGTACATTGGTGTTGAAAGATGTTCGGCATGTCCCAGAGCTGAGAATGAATCTTATCTCAGTTGGAGCTCTTGACATCCAAGGATATGATAATCAATTCAAAAATGGCACCTGGAAGTTGTTGAAAGGTGTTATGGTTGTTGCAAGGGGAAAACTTGATGGTACTCTTTATAAAAGTCATGCAAAGTTGCTTCAACCAAGTCTCAATGTTGTTAAAGAAGAGACATCACCAAACTTGTGGCATAGAAGACTAGGCCACATGAGCGAGAAGGGATTGACGACTCTTGCAAAGAAGGAGTCCATTTCAATGGCAAAAGATGTTGCCTTGGATCCTTGTAAATACTGCCTATTCGGGAAACAACACAGAGTTTCCTTTAGCTCCACAAGAAAGAACCGCTCTGAGTTGCTGAGCCTTGTCCACTCCGACGTATGTGG